TTGACATCATGTAAAAATTTCTTCCTTTGATGGAAAGTGAGCTCTTGGGGAAGAATTTCTTTGGCAAGATAGTTCACAAAATCTGTGAACCAAGGTAAGGAAACTCCCTTCACCTCCATGAGTTGCTCATAAGGAAAATCATCATGAATTACTTCCACATTTGTAGTGGCGTTTGGCTCAAGGCGAGAGAGGTGATCCGCTACAAGATTTTCACTTCCTTTCTTGTCCCGAATCTCCAGGTCAAACTCTTGGAGTAAAAGCACCCACCGGATTAGTCGTGGCTTAGCATCCTTTTTATTCATGAGGTACCGGATGGCGGAGTGATCGGTATAGACAATCACCTTTTGGCCAATGAGGTAAGACCGGAATTTGTCAAAAGCATAGATGATGGCTAGGAACTCTTTCTCTGTTGTTGCATAATTGAGTTCTGCATCATGAAGTAACCTCGATGCATAGTATATGGCATGAAGTTTCTTTTCTCTTCTTTGACCAAGCACAACTCCAATGGCATGGTCGCTAGCGTCGCACATCAATTCGAACGGTAGAGACCAATCCGGTGAAATGATTATGGGAGCCGAAGTAAGAGCCTTCTTGAGAGTGTTGAAGGCTAGTAAGCAAGATTGAGAGAACTCAAAAGTAGCATCCTTGGCAAGTAAATCGCAAAGTGGTTTTGCGATTTTTGAAAAATCTTTGATGAATCGCCGGTAAAAACCGGCATGCCCCAAAAAGCTTCTTATGGCTTTTACCGAATGAGGAGGTGGTAATTTTTCAATAACATCCACCTTGGCTTGATCAACTTCGATGCCTTGAGGGGAGATTTTATGCCCCAAGACAATGCCTTCGGTCACCATAAAGTGACATTTCTCCCAATTAAGAGCAAGATGGGTTTCTTCACATCGGATGAGCACTTTTTCAAGGTTATTTAGGCAAACATCGAATGAATTTCCAAAGACTGAAAAATCATCCATAAATACCTCCATATAATCTCCAACCATGTCGAAAAAATAGCCATGACGCACCTTTGAAAGGTCCCCGGTGCATTGCAAAGACCAAATGGCATCCTTCGGTAAGCAAATGTCCCAAAAGGACAAGTAAACGTTGTTTTCTCTTGATCCTCGGGTGAGATGGCTATTTGAAAATAGCCGGAAAAACCATCCAAGAAGCAGTAAAATTCATGACCAGCCACTCTTTCTAGCATTTCGTCCATGAACGGTAGGGGGAAATGGTCCTTCCTTGTGCCGGCATTCAACTTTCGGTAGTCAATGCACATCCTCCACCCGGTAACCATTCTAGTAGGAATTAATTCATTCTTACTATTGGTTATAACGGTGATTCCTCCCTTCTTCGGGACTACTTGCACGGGACTCACAAAGTTGCTATCGGATATGGGATAGATAATACCATAGTCAAGAAGTTTGAGAACTTCCTCCTTAACTACCTCCTTCATATTTGGGTTGAGCCTCCTTTGATGTTCTACCGTTGGTTTGTGGTTTTCCTCCATGAGGATCCGATGCATGCATAGAGTTGGGCTTATACCCTTGATATCCGCCAAGGACCAAGCTATTGATGATGTGTGAGCTCTCAATACCCGGAGTAATTTCTTTTCTTGTAAAGGAGAAAGAGTAGAGGAAATTACCACGGGGTATGTAGAATTATTGCCAAGGAATGCATATTTGAGATGTACCGGTAGAGGTTTGAGAGTGGGCTTTGGAGGAGTTTGACTTGATGGTTTGAGAATAGACTTCCTTTGCCCAAGGTCTTCAAATCTTTGTCGGTAAGGTCTATGAACGACTTCTCCTTGTAAGAACATCATTTGTTGGAAAATTTCAGAATTTTCTTCTTCTTCTTCGGTGTGCCCAAATGTGAGACATGCTTCAAGAGGGTCTTTTTGAAGTTCTTTTTCAAACATCTCCCGAGTTATAGTATCAATGATGTCAATACTAAAACACGTGGAGCTATCATGATGTTTCTTCAATGAATCCCACACATGGAATTCTTGTTCATCTTCTCCTACTCGGAATTTGACAACTCCGTTCTTCACATCAATGAGGGCGGCGGCGGTGGCTAGAAATGATCTCCCAAGAATGATAGGAATTTCCATTTCTTCCATTTCCAAGATGAGAAAATCTACTGGAAAATAGAATTTACCCACCTTAACTAGAACATCCTCCATAACTCCCAATGGATAGCGGATTGTTCTATCCGCTAATTGGAGAGCAACCGTTGTAGATTGAAGTTCCCCCACACCAAGCTTTTTAAAGAGGGAATGTGGCATAAGATTTATACTAGCTCCGAGATCACAAAGAGATTTTACCTCTCCAATTTTTTCAATAGAGCATGGGACGGTAAAGCTTCCGGGATCCTTCAACTTTGGAGGGAGTGTATTTTGAAGGATTGCACTACACTCCTCCGTAAGTGCCACGGTTGCAAAGTCCGCTAGTTTCTTCTTGTTTGAAAGAATCCCTTTTAGAAATTTGGCATAAGAAGGGATTTCCGCAATAGCTTCCGCAAATGGTATGTTGATGCTTAACTTGGTAAAAATATCAAGAAATTTCTTGTATTGTTTACCATCATTCTTCTTCTTCAACCTTTGTGGATATGGGATAGGGGGAACATAATTTGCCATAGTAGGAAGTGGCGATATATGTTCCTCCAACTCCTCCTCGTCTTGTGTCGTTGGTGCTTCCTCCGGAGTTTTAGGGTCCTCCGTTTGTTTGCCACTCCGTGTTGTTATGGCCATGACGTTTTCCCTTGGATTGACTTCAGTTGTTGTGGGAAATCGCCCTTGTTCTCGAGTGCTTTTTCCTTGGGCAATTTGCCCAATTTGTACCTCCAAGTTGTGGATAAATGACTTGGTGTATTGTTCTATGTTGTTGATAAGTCCGTATTTAGACACGCATTTGATGCGTGTTCGGGTCGGATTTTGATGATTTTCCTGGCTTTAAAGAGTTGCAAGTCTCAATTTTGGCTCAAGTTGTGTTTAACAGGCGTTGGATCGAGTTTCATTGCATTTGGAGTTGATTTGAAGAAGTTAGAGTCCGGCAATCGGCGTTTGAGAGATATTCGGGAAGGATTTGAAGGCATTCGAGAGAGATTTGGAAGATTTGGAGGCCACCGGGAGATTCACGACGAAATTCTAGTGAAGAAAGAGCATTTGGATCAACCTCGTAGGCATCCGGGAGCATTCGGAGCAAGAAAACGAAAGAAAAATGAAGAATAGGGTCAGGCACGGTCGTGCCTGGAGTTAGGCACGCCGTGCCTGAAGAAGAATCATCCTGGGAGCTACTGGAGGCCAGGCACGATCGTGCCTGGCATTGATCGAGGAACCACGCTACTGGAGGCCAGGCACGATCGTGCCTGGTAGTCAGGCACGCCGTGCCTGGACGCGAATTACGGGCATCGGTCGCAGGCACGGTCGCAGGCACGATCGTGTCTGGCACCGTGCCTGGCCGCGATTTGTCCTAATTCGACCCGAATTCACTGTTTTCTATAAATAAGGCCTCCATAACCCCGTTTTTGGGGTTACGAACTTTGGAGAGAGGCCTAGGGACGAGTTTATCTGCGTTTTTTACGTTGTTTAATCTAAGAACCTGGGATTCTTGGTAAGTTCAATTCTTTAATTAATGACAATTATTTCTATTCATCCCAATTCTGTTGATTCGTCAATTATGAGGCGTGAGTAGTTTAATTAGGGATTTGGGGTTGATGAAGGGGTTAATAATGATTGATGGCTAGATGCTTGTCGGTTTAATTGCATGAATGCCGTTTAATTTGTGTTTGAATAATTTAATTGATATCTTTTGTAACCTAGAATCGCGACTAGAATTACAATTGCATGTAGAATAAATTAAGAGAGATCTAATTTGTTCTAGGACACATTCACACACACTTAATCGTTCGCTAAGAGATTAGTAGCGATTAAGGGGCCGTAAGCTCGTTCGTTTTGACAATAATTTAGGATCTTGTCGCATGAGAGATCAGCCTGGACCCCTAAATTATTGTACTCTACGCCGCGAGAGCGGTAAGAACTTAGTAATGATTAGCTAGGCTCAATTAAATTAAATTCATGTAATTAGGCCTGTTCTGCCAGAAATCTGGTTAACCCCGGAATCAATTCCTGTTCCCTTCGTCGTTAATTAAGGAAAACCAAATCTTTTTATTCGCTCATTAGCATTAGTTTTAGTTTAATCAATCAACCAATCTCGCACAATTGCACTTTTATTTTATTTATTTCTTTCTAATCGCTAAGTTTAGTTAATCTTTATTTCCCTTTTGTCCGTCCCTGTGGAGACGATACTCGTACTTTACACCACTTTTCTACAACCATTTTAAGTGCGAGAAAACTCACATCAGTTTTTGAGTGAATTGGGCATTCGGGCAGTAGTTGTCACATGTGATTTGTTAGAGTTAGCATGCGCAGGTGTTAGTTGTATATTCATAGGAAATTCATGCAAAATTTTTGAAATTTTTTCTTTAAACTGTGTCTTTGTGAGCTGGCTAGCGTTTTGACTATGTTTTTAGAACATCTTTGAAGTGTTTAGGCTACTGATCAGAAGGACTTGTGAATTTGATGGTGAATGGGTAATAATGAAAGTGGTCCCTTTATCTTGAGAGATAGGAATATTCTAACAAAGACTTAATGTATTTAGGAACTTCAAAGATGTTCTAAAAACATAGTCAAAACGCTAGCCAGCTCACAAAGACACAGTTTAAAGAAAAATTTTCAAAAATTTTGCATGAATTTCCTATGAATATACAACTAACACCTGCGCATGCTAACTCTAACAAATCACATGTGACAACTACTGCCCGAATGCCCAATTCACTCCCCCACACTTAAATTTTTGGCATCGTCCTCGATGACCAAATATGCATTATGAACTAGGGGTAAAGAGGAAAGGGTCACGCGTGCTCAAAATTAACTCAAGTTAACATTTACGCATTGAGTAACAAGTATCATGGAAACTCCCCTATCGCGTTGGTCAGTCAGGAACAGAACTGGGTCTTGATTCGCACGAACACATTCATCCACTAAGCTGCACACATCATGAACACAAAACAAAGCACACAATAAAGAGTTAATGTGAAAGAGTGAGAGTGTGAGTGTGATAGTGTTTACGGTACAGTCATCCAACAATATCATGATACAGATGCTAGCAGAGGACAATCTAATGAAATCTAAAACTCAGGAGGGGGTGGCGGTGGATAGGCATCGAAGAATGAACTCCGGCTAGTCTCCATAGAGGTGAGTCTCTCATCAATCCGGGTATACTGAGACTGGAGCTGTGAATAGTGGAGTGCCTGGTCCTCCCGCATCTCTCTGTAAAAGTCCTGCTGCTCGAAGCGCATCTGATCGAACCGCTCATGCTGCTCCGCAGACAACTGCCGATAGACGGCATCCTGATGCTCATGCATCCCCGCCCAAGAATCCGGAAATGCTGTGCCGTAGGGGGGTGCATCGTATGAAGCCTCGTGAGCAGCCTCCTCCATCTCTACCTCATCATCCTCATCAACGTCATCATCATCATCATCATCAGCTCGCTGTCCTCCTCCTCCTGCTGGTGCTGCCTGCTGTGTCCTCCTCCTCGCCACGTCAGTGTTGACCTCGGGGAGCCGGGTCAAAGCAGCAAAACTGGAGCTCTCCTCCATCCTCTGAAAGCGGTCCCCGAACCCCATCCCAGTCAACAGTCGCGTAATGAATGGGCCTACAAAGATGGCCTTGATGTGGTTCGTGGCTTGGCGGTGGAGGAGTTTGGCTATGAGATAGTCCATGTGGGGCTTGCGGTTGTGGATCATACAATATAAGCAGAAGAGGTCCGTCTGAGTGACCTTACCGGCAACCTCGGCCTTGCCGGTGATGGTGGAGGAAAGGAGTGCGTGTATAATGCGGTACTGGCGGGGGTAAAGTAGGGTGCTAGGGGACTTCTTCGGTGTATAAGTCCCGCCATCTCTCGTGATCGACTCCCAGAATGCCTGGCGGTTGACGCCTGGGGGGAAGTCTGTCAAAGAAGCCTCGTGCTGGCCGTCATCCTCAATCCCCGTAAAGCCCAAATGATAGCGCACCTCCGCCATGGAGATGGCATGATCCTCCTCGAATGCCCGGAACTTGATGACGGGCCTATGGTTGTCATCAATAGGGATAACCTTCGGCATCTTGAATGTGGCCAATACCTCACAAGTAATCTCTCTATATGTGATATCACGGATCCCAAAAAATAGGTGTCGCCACCACCCTCGTCTCAAAAGGAACATCACGTCATCTCTCACTCCTGCTGCCGTGAGAGAGTCCTCATCCGGGAAGTAAAATGTGCCCATAGGCTTTTGCAGCAGCTCCGTATGCTTCAGTTCGTCCCGCAGTTGCGGGAACCTCGGCTGGTACCGGCTGGTGTTGCCTCGGCTAGAGCCGGCACCTCCACCCCTAGTGTGCTTCTGCCTTGGTGCCATCTGTCAAAACAAATCAAAACAAGAATTCCAACGGGGCTTCCAAATGTTAGAACAAATTTTCAAAGTACAGCAATGGCCCCGTCAGCACTTACTCAGGCAAAAATATTATCATAGTAGCACAAACCCAAGTCTAACCAGAATAGTTGAAAAGTTTGAATTTTTATCAAAGAAAAGTTCTTTGAATAAAAGTTCAAATTTTAAACGACACACGGTATAAACAAGGTCACAAGAAAGCGTATTCATCACAAGCACAAAAGAATTAGAGAGATAACTAAAGTAGGGAAGAACTCAATTCGCAATTTAGACAAAGTTTGGCCTAAAATTTGGGGATTTATGCTCAAATGGACTCAACAACAAGGTTTCAACATCACAATCAACAATTCAATTCTTAATTCAAGCAACAAGCACGAAATCCCCAAATTTTTCTCACATTCATCAATTTTCAACCCTAAATTGGCTAAATTAGCTCAAAAATTAGGGATTTCAATCAAAAGAGGCAAATTCATCAACAAAGAACATCAATAACATCAATTCAAGCCTCAATTAACACAAAGAAAGCACAATCCCTAAGATTTGAGCACATGCAAATTCGAAATTTTCAAAGCTTTGAAAGACCTCCATTAATGGTGGAAGAAGGAGAAGGGAAGAAGAAGGTACCTTGCTAGCCGATTAGAGAAGAGAGAGAAGATGGGGAGGGGTCGCCGGTTGGTGTGGCGGTCGCCGGTGGTCGCTGGTGGGTCGCGGCGGGCTTCGGTGGTGGTTCGCGGGGGTCTTGACGTAGAAGCCGAGGGAGAAGAAGAAGGATCGAGGGGGGTGCTGTTTGGTCGCGTAAGAGGGAGGGAGGAAGGGGCTGGGTGTTGTTGTTTTAATTTGCGGGGTATTTGCGTAAAATTGCCCAGGCACGATCGTGCCTAGGCCAGACACGATCGTGTCTGGGAGGCAGTGGGCTATGTTCCCTTCGCGCCCCAGGCACGATCGTGCCTCCAGCCAGACACGATCGTGTCTGGGAGGCAGTAGCTTCGCGTGAATTTCCCCTTCTGCAGGCACGGCGTGCCTGCCCAGGCACGACCGTGCCTGACAAAAAACGTTTTTTTTTTTTTTTTTTTTTTGTGGTTTTTGTGGGTTTTTTTTGAAAAGCAACAAAACTAAACTTAAGTAAAAACAAATTAAGCTCGGGTTGCCTCCCGAGAAGCGCTATGTTTAACGTCGTTTGCCCGACGCAACTACGCACTCATCTTTCCAAATTCGTGACAAAGGTCACCTCACGCTCGCGTTCTAGCGGTCCTCCGTAGTATTTCTTCAGGTGATGGCCGTTAACTTTAAAACGGCCCTTCTCAGGATGATCAATCTCGACAGTTCCATACGGAAAAACTTCGCTTACTACAAAAGGGCCAGACCACCTAGACTTCAACTTTCCTTTGAAAATTTTCATTCGGGGATTGAATAGCAGAACTTGATCCCCCTTACAAAACTCTTTTCCCTGCTTAATGTGCCGATCATGATAGGCTTTGGTACGCTCCTTACTAATTTTAGAGTTCTCATAGGCCATAAGCCTCCACTCGTCCAACTCGTTGAGCTTCCAAAGCCGTTCACGACCCGCCAAAGACAAATCCTTATTCAACATTTTCAAGGCCCAGTATGCCTTATGCTCTATCTCTACCGGAAGGTGGCACACCTTCCCATAAACCAAGTGAAACGGAGTAGTGCCAATGGGTGTCTTATACGCTGTACGCAGTGCCCACAGCGCATCATCTAGCTTATCAGACCAATCCTTCCTATGGGTCTCAACAGTCTTCTCGAGGATGGTCTTAATGTCCCTATTCGAATTCTCAACTTGGCCACTAGTTTGAGGGTGATAAGGGACGCCCCCTTTATGAGTGACCCCATACTTTGCCAAAAGGCGAGTCATCGGATCATTCCTAAAGTGAGTACCCCTGTCACTTATCAAAACTCGTGGCACTCCAAACCTAGAAAACAACTTCTTCAGAAAACGAATCACAACTCTAGCATCATTTGTGGGTAGAGCTTCAGCCTCAACCCACTTAGAGACATAATCCACAACAACCAGAATGAATTTATTACCTTTAGAACCCGGGAACGGTCCCATGAAGTCAATGCCCCAAACATCAAATACCTCACAAGCCAATATAAAATTCTGGGGCATCTCATCCCTCTTGGTAACCGGCCCGGTGCGTTGACACCTGTCACATTCCTGCACAAACGTTAGAGCATCTTTAAACAACGTGGGCCAGAAGAAACCACATTCCAACACCTTACGAGCTGTCCGGTTAAAAGAATAGTGTCCCCCAGTCGGTCCGGAGTGACAATGTTTGAGAATCTCAACTCCCTCACTCAGGGGAACACATCTTCTAACAACCTGATCAGCACAAATACGAAACAAATATGGTTCCTCCCAGAAATAGTACTTCAAATCAGCAAAAAATTTCCTTCGTTGATGAGGTGTATAATCAGAAGGAACAACACCCCCAACAAGATAGTTGGCGATGTCAGAAAACCAAGGCACCTCATCAACGATCCTCAACAGTCTCTCATCAGGAAAAGTACCCTCAATATCTCTCTCACTTAGGGAATCAAGAAAGGGGTTTTCTAACCTACTCAAGTGATCAGCCGCTAAATTCTCAGCCCCTTTCTTATCCCTAATCTCAATATCAAACTCCTGGAGTAGTAATATCCACCGAATCAATCTAGGCTTAGCATCCACTTTTTGCATCAAATATTTAAGAGCAGAATGATCAGTGAATATCACTACCTTAGACAAAATCAAATAAGGACGAAACTTGTCAAGAGCAAATACAACAGCAAGCAATTCTTTCTCGGTGGTAGTGTAGTTTTCTTGGGCACTATCGAGAGTCTTAGAAGCATAAGAAATAGGCTGAAAATGTTTCTCTCGACGCTGCCCAAGAACGGCTCCTACTGCAAAATCACTAGCATCACACATAATCTCAAAAGGCAAAGAACAGTCAGGAGCTACTACCACCGGTGCCTTGACCAGTTTCTCCTTCAAACACTCAAAAGCCTCTAAACACTCCTTTGAGAAGTCAAACGGTGCATCCTTCTCAAGGAGCTTAGTCATGGGTCGGGCTATCTTAGAAAAGTCTTGGATGAACCTACGGTAAAAACCTGCGTGGCCCAGAAAACTCCTAATGGCACGGACCGAAGTAGGGGGAGGTAGTTTAGAAATCACATCAACCTTAGCCGGATCAACCTCAATCCCCCTACTTGAAATCTTATGCCCTAGGACCACTCCCTCACTAACCATGAAGTGGCACTTCTCCCAGTTAAGTACCAAATTCACCTCTCGACACCTAACCAGGACTTTCTTCAAATTCTCTAAGCACTCACCAAAAGTATCACCATACACAGAAAAGTCATCCATGAAAACCTCCATAAACTTCCCAATGAAATCCCCAAAAATAGCAAGCATGCATCTCATAAAGGTAGCAGGGGCATTACATAATCCAAACGCCATCCTCCGATAAGCAAAGGTACCGAATGGACATGTAAAAGTGGTCTTATCCTGGTCCTCGGGGGCTATGGGGATCTGGAAGTATCCCGCCGGCTGAGGTGCTTGTTGTTGGCCTTGAGGTACCTGGGGCTGATTAAAGTTTCTAGACTGCTGCTGATTTCCCTGCCTGTATTGCCCTTGCTGCTGCTGTCCGTAGGGCTGATTATAGTAACCCTGTCGCTGATAATACATCGCATCCACTTGCTCTACTCCAGGGGCTGCCGAGTGTGCCATCATTGTGCATTCATGTGGCGAATGGAGTCCCCCACACATAGTACAAGAGGGACTAATAGGAACGGGGGCTACCATATTTACACTGGGCACCGAGAGAGCAAGTTCCGTCTTCTTCTGATTGTCTTCCACTGTAGTAGCAAGCTTCTGAATCATACTGGTCAAAGCATCTACCCTTGCAGAAAGGGCGGAATTCTCACTAATCTCGTACAATCCCGGGGCCTTTTGGTGAGGTGTGTCCCGAGAACTGTACCATGAAGCATTATTCGACACAATCTTCTCCACTAATTCTTCCGCAACCTCAGATGGCAACTGAGGAAAAGCTCCACCTCCCGAAGCATCAAGCATCATCTTTCCTTCATTGTTGAGTCCACTGTAGAAGCAGGATAGAACCTCACAATCAGTCATCTTGCCTTGAGGGCAAGCTCTTCTCAGCACCTTGAACCTCTTCCACGCCTCAGCTAATGTCTCCAAAGAACCTTGCTTGAATTCCTGTAGCTGCTTCTTCAACTTTATGGCCTTTGATGTTGGGAAGTATTCTTTGATGAAGGCCTTGTGCAGCTGATCCCAAGTCTGAATGTGGTGATGTGGATTGTTATCCAACCACCTTTGCGCGTCATCCCTTAAGGAGAAAGGGAATAATAGCATCCGTACCTGATCGTCATCTAGCCCAGGAATCTTGAAAGTCTGGCACATCCTCAGAAATTTGGTAATGTGTGCCACTGGATCTTCCGTAGGACTCCCTCCGAACTGATTATTTAGGACCATATTGATCACCGCCGGCTTGATCTCGTAACGGGGTGCAGTAATCCCCGGTACCTGAATGCTGTCATACTCTGTGATCTCGGGGGCTAGGAAGTCTGCAATGCTCTCTCCTTGATAGAGTGGATTGTCATGTGGAACATAGTTGTGGTAAGGAGGAGCTTGATATCTCGGCTGATGAACTGGTTGTGGTCTTATGGGTTGTGGACGGATGATATTTGGCTGAGGTTGGGTTTGATGGAATTGTTGATATTTGGGTTGGAAGGGCTGATTTTGTGGCTGAGTAGGGGGTGGATTTTGTGTGACTAGCGGTTGGTTCTGTCTGGGCTGAAAGACTGGATTGTTTTGCCCTAGACCTTGCATCCCAAAGGTTTGGTTTTGAAAAGTGGTTTCGGGAGCAATAGAAGTGTTTTGAAAGAGCTGATAGAGTGGTGGAAGATTTAGTTGTGGAGTGGACTGATTTTGGTGGAAGAATGGGGTACGGAGATTTTGATACCCCAGATAAGCTCTAGGTGAATTTTCTTGTGAAGACTGGGGAGAGGTATGAACATAAAAATCCAGATTACCAGAAGTGGTTTGGACCTCAGACGTCCCAGCTATTCCAGATGCGGATGGTTGATCCATGGTTGCTTTCTGTTCTCTCAAGGCCTTGCGGTTCTGCTTAGCTAGCTTCTCGATCTCAGGATTAAGAGGGACTAGTGATTCTCCCTTCTTAGAGCGTGTATGCATAAACAGATCTGACCTGCAAGGTTAGTAGACAAAAATCCTACGAAAAACTAAAAACAAGTCGCTAAAATTAATTAACCCTTAAATCCGACACCGTCCCCGGCAACGGCGCCAAAAACTGATGTGAGTTTTCTCGCACTTAAAATGGTTGTAGAAAAGTGGTGTAAAGTACGAGTATCGTCTCCACAGGGACGGACAAAAGGGAAATAAAGATTAACTAAACTTAGCGATTAGAAAGAAATAAATAAAATAAAAGTGCAATTGTGCGAGATTGGTTGATTGATTAAACTAAAACTAATGCTAATGAGCGAATAAAAAGATTTGGTTTTCCTTAATTAACGACGAAGGGAACAGGAATTGATTCCGGGGTTAACCAGATTTCTGGCAGAACAGGCCTAATTACATGAATTTAATTTAATTGAGCCTAGCTAATCATTACTAAGTTCTTACCGCTCTCGCGGCGTAGAGTACAATAATTTAGGGGTCCAGGCTGATCTCTCATGCGACAAGATCCTAAATTATTGTCAAAACGAACGAGCTTACGGCCCCTTAATCGCTACTAATCTCTTAGCGAACGATTAAGTGTGTGTGAATGTGTCCTAGAACAAATTAGATCTCTCTTAATTTATTCTACATGCAATTGTAATTCTAGTCGCGATTCTAGGTTACAAAAGATATCAATTAAATTATTCAAACACAAATTAAACGGCATTCATGCAATTAAACCGACAAGCATCTAGCCATCAATCATTATTAACCCCTTCATCAACCCCAAATCCCTAATTAAACTACTCACGCCTCATAATTGACGAATCAACAGAATTGGGATGAATAGAAATAATTGTCATTAATTAAAGAATTGAACTTACCAAGAATCCCAGGTTCTTAGATTAAACAACGTAAAAAACGCAGATAAACTCGTCCCTAGGCCTCTCTCCAAAGTTCGTAACCCCAAAAACGGGGTTATGGAGGCCTTATTTATAGAAAACAGTGAATTCGGGTCGAATTAGGACAAATCGCGGCCAGGCACGGTGCCAGACACGATCGTGCCTGCGACCGTGCCTGCGACCGATGCCCGTAATTCGCGTCCAGGCACGGCGTGCCTGACTACCAGGCACGATCGTGCCTGGCCTCCAGTAGCGTGGTTCCTCGATCAATGCCAGGCACGGCGTGCCTAGCTGCCAGGCACGATCGTGCCTGGCCTCCAGTAGCTCCCAGGATGATTCTTCTTCAGGCACGGCGTGCCTAACTCCAGGCACGACTGTGCCTGACCCTATTCTTCATTTTTCTTTCGTTTTCTTGCTCCGAATGCTCCCGGATGCCTACGAGGTTGATCCAAATGCTTTTTCTTCACTAGAATTTCGTCGTGAATCTCCCGGTGGCCTCCAAATCTTCCAAATCTCTCTCGAATGCCTTCAAATCCTTCCCGAATATCTCTCAAGCGCCGATTGCCAGACTCTAACTTCTTCAAATCAACTCCAAATGCAATGAAACTCGATCCAACGCCTGTTAAACACAACTTGAGCCAAAATTGAGACTTGCAACGCCTTAAAGCCAGGAAAATCATCAAAATCCGACTCGAACACGCATCAAATGCGTGTCTAAATACGGACTTATCAGTTGTCCATGCGTTGGTGAAGTTTCCTGTTTTGATCTTCAAACTGGAGGTCAAGCTTGGTGAATTGTGAGTGGAGATTCCCAATGGATGCCTCCACTCTACTATGATTCTCCTCATTTTGGGCTTTTACACTAGCCACAACATTTTGAGTGAGAGTCTTCATCATCTCCTCCATTGTTTGCTCTTTGTGCCCATGTGTAAACCCGGATGAGGGGTAAGAAGGACCTCCTTGTGGTTTACCTTGGTTAAACCTTTGTTGATTGTTGGAATAATTGTTGCCTCCTTGGTACCCCCTATTCCCGTAAGAGTTCATATAATTCACATCTTCAAGAGTTTGAGGTGAATTACCTTCCGGTTGTGCAATATTCTCCACACTTGCTACTTGACTAGCTCCTCCAATTACGGCTTGAAGAGCCGTATGAATAAAGGCTTGAAGATCTTTGTACATAGCTTGTTGAAAATCAGCAAACCGCTTGTCCAATTCATGAGCTATGGACACCTCACTCACACCGGCTAATTTGACATCTCCTCCTTGTAGTTGAGGATTGGAAGCAATGGATTCAAGGATTCTCAAAGCCTCCGTTTCAGTTTTGTTGCCAATATAGCCCTCCGCACGGTTATCTACAATGGTTTGACATGAAGAGTTCAAACCATTGTAGAATGTATCAATTTGAAGATCAAGAGGAATGCGGTGATGAGGGCATTCCTTCAACAAGGCTTTGAAACGCCTCCATGCGTCTTGGAATAGTTCTCCAACTTGTTGTTTGAAGTTGAAGATTCGTTGCCTTAGCTCTTGAGTCATCGTGGGTGTATAATACTTGGAAATGAAAGCATTATAGATACCTTCCCACGTTGTGAAAATTGCCGGTGTTTGCTCCAAGAACCACATCCTTGCCGCCCCTTTCAAAGTATAGGGAAAGCTTTTGAGTTTAAGATCATCCTCGGTGAGACCATGCCTCGGGATTCCTTGAATGAATCCATAGAACTCGGTGATGAAGTTAAGTGGATTCTCCCCCGGAAGACCATGAAATTGAGGCATAGCATTGAAGTAGCTATTTTTCATTTCAAAGTCCCGATGTAGTAATAAAAATGTTTGAATAGCCCGATCAAGCATAGCTATTAAATCACCGTTATAACCAATAGTAAGAATGAATTAATTCCTACTAGAATGGTTACCGGGTGGAGGATGTGCATTGACTACCGAAAGTTGAATGCTTAGGACAATGCATGAGGGAGTGGCGGCAACCACGGGCCTCTTCCTTTCATTGAGTGTTGGCATCATCTTCGCCTTTCTTTCCTTCCGGTTGTGTTTGAAAGTTCTTTCTATTTCAAGATCAAGAGGTTCAAGATGTTTAGAACCTTGACTTCTCAAATGCATTCAAACACAAAGGATAGTCTACACACATGAAATGAAAAGTACCTAAGAACAAGTGAAAAGCAATGGGAAATAAAAATTTCAGGATTTTGTTTGGTTGTTTTAACTCTATAATAACGAGCCGTCTTTCCCCGGCAACGGCGCCAAAAACTTGATCGGGCTAAACTTGCAAGTATACAAGTGCCGATGTAGTAATAAAATACCGGTAAATACCGGGTCGATCCACAGGGAAATGGTTGATATTATAAAGTCGAGTATTGAATGCAAAGAATGTAAATGATATATTTTTTTCCAGGAACTTTGCTCTTTGAGATTGGTTTAAACAAGAATGAGAATTACTAAGGCAATCAGGATTCACCTAAATGCTTTAGTAGTTGTTTAATAATAGTTCTTTCCCAATAATTATGAATACGATGTCGCTAATATATTCTCAACTCCGGTTAAGGCAGCGAGAGCGTGGTTTTCGTTACGTGTAAGTCCCGTTACGGCTTACATTCATCTACCGAAAACCCCGTTGAATATCAAGACATCACACCCGTATCATATAAGACCGGATATATTTCTATTCTCGGTACTATATATGTTTATCCTTTAATGTTCATAGTTTAGACTTCAACGTTAATTGCAAGCATAAACTAAATTTAACATACTTCTATGTTGTACACCATAGTCATAAACAATCAAAATATAAAGGATAAATCACAATTTATTGGTTTATAACTTTTATCAAACACCTAACATGCATAGAGGTTCATCCCTAGCCTTAGCTAAGAAATTAGCCTCTAATGCTCATATTAATCACAATACAATATTGAAATGTAATAGAACATGAAATTACAAAGGAAATAATACCTAAACACCAATGGTTTTGGAGGTTGAAATTTCCTCCTCAAGAACTTGAAGAACAATAGCAAAAACAAAGTATGAAAACTAGGAATTAAAGTATGGAATGGAATGTTATTGCTTGATGAATTAAGGGCTTTATATAGGCTAAATAAGGGCATCTTTTAGTCTATTCAAGCCTAACAATCAGAAGCTTGCTCTTCAGTGGAAGACAATCAAAAGAAGACGGAACTTGCTCTCTCGGTGCCCAGTGTGAATATGGTAGCCCCCGTTCCTATTAGTCCCTCTTGTACTATGTGTGGGGGACTCCATTCGCCACATGAATGCACGATGATGGCACACTCGGCAGCCCCTGGAGTAGAGCAAGTGGATGCGATGTATTATCAGCGCCAAGGCTACTACAATCAGCCCTACGGACAGCAGCAGCAAGGGCAATACGGGCAAGGAAATCAGCAGCAGACTAGAAACTTTAATCAGTCCCAGATACCTCAAGGCCAGCAACAAGCTCCTCAACCGGCGCAAGGAAGCTTCAGAAAGGAGACTGAGCAAAAATTTTCTAGCTTGGAAGAAGTGCTCAACAAATTAGCACAAAATCAGCTGAAGCAGACTCAAGGATGCAAATGTTTGAGGCAAGGATGCAGAGCATGGAGACTCACATGGGGCAGATCTCAAAGGCTTTATCTGAGAGGCCTCAGGGATCCCTCCCTAGTAATACTGAACCAAATCCCAGAGAACATGTTCAGGCGGTCACCTTGAGGAGTGGAAAAGAGCTGGAACCTGCTGCCATAACAAAGAAGCCCGATGAAGTTCAAGTTGAACCGGCTGTCCGGGAGGAAGAGAAGGAGAAAGACGAGGGAAGAGAGGTGGCGGCTGCACCAAAACAGCCCGTTCCGGTCAAGAATTACTCCCCACCTCTCCCCTATCCGGCGCGATTGACTAGGAAGAACGATAGTGACCAGTTTGGTAAGTTTCTGCATCTCATGAAACAAGTGCAGATTAACTTACCATTCGTGGATGCACTAGCTCAGATGCCGAAGTACGCGAAGTTTATGAAGGATTTGCTCACGAACAAGAGGAGGCTGGAAGAAGCGTCTACTGTGACGCTTAATGAGGAGTGCTCAGCGGTAATACGGACAGATCTGCCGAAGAAGCTTAAGGATCCAGGTTCTTTTACTATTCCCTGCTTTATAGGAGATCTTACTTTTGATAGGGCCCTGGCTGATTTGGGTGCAAGCATTAATTTGATGCCTCTTGCTTTATATGAAAAGCTTGCACTCGGTCCACTTAAACCTACACGTATGTGCATTCAGTTGGCTGATCGTTCAGTCAAATATCCCCAAGGGATTATTGAAGACGTGTTGGTTAAAGTGGACAAATTTATTTTTCCGGTAGACTTTGTTATTTTGGACATGGATCAGGATCGGGAAGTACCATTGATTTTGGGCAGACCATTCTTGGCAACTGCCCGAGCACTTATTGATGTTGGAGACGGTAAGCTTGTCCTCCGCGTTGGGGATGAGTCTGCCACCTTTGACATGTCCAAAATAATGAAGAGGCCCTGTCAAGATAGTGGTGAGTGTTTTTACATGGATGTGGTTGATTCTTTGGTGGAGGATTGCATTCCTAACATGCTTTCTGATGAAGCCTTCTTTGATCTTCTTTTGGATGATAGTTTGTCAGCAGAGGATCTTGAGCTCCTCCCTAGTTTTGATTGTCTTATGCTTGATGGGGAGGAGGACTCAAGTGATGCTAGTGATGTGAAGGGGAAGGAAGATGATTTAGATAAGGTGGAGAAGGAAGACTGTCAGACTGATTCTTCTATTGTTACTCCTTCTCCATTAAATCTAAAGCCTCTTCCCTCCCACCTTGAGTATGCGTTTCTAGATGATAGTTCTGACCTCCCTGTTATTCTTGCATCCGGGCTTGAGCCATCCCAAAAATCTGCATGTATTAACTTACTTTGTGAACAAAGGGAAGCTCTAGCCCGGAAACTTTCTGACATGAAAGGAATCAGTCCTGTTTTCTGCACTCATAAAATTTTGATGGAAGATAATGTTAAACCGGTAGTGCAGCCACAAAGGAGACTGGATCCTAATATGCAGGAGGTAGTCAGGGAGGAAGTCATCCGTCTGTTAGATGTAGGAATTATTTATCCAATTTCAGACAGCCCTTGGGTCAGCCCGACCCAGGTGGTTCCCAAGAAAGGGGGGATGACTGTGGTTAGGAATGAGAAAGATGAGTTGATTGCTACACGTACGGTCACCGGATGGCGGGTTTGCATTGATTACCGAAGGTTGAATGCCGCCACCCGGAAAGACCACTTCCCCCTCCCCTTCATTGATCAGATTTTAGAGAGGCTAGCAGGGCATAAGTTTTACTGTTTCCTTGACGGGATGTCGGGATACTTCCAGATCCCCATAGCCCCCGAGGACCAGGATAAAACCACTTTTACATGTCCCTTCGGTACCTTTGCTTATCGGAGGATGGCGTTTGGATTATGTAATGCCCCTGCTACCTTTATGAGATGCATGCTTGCTATTTTTGGGGATTTCATTGGAAGGTTTATGGAGGTTTTTATGGATGACTTTTCTGTGTATGGTGATACTTTTGATGAGTGCTTAGAGAATTTGAAGAAAGTCCTGGTTAGGTGTCGAGAGGTGAATTTGGTACTTAACTGGGAGAAGTGTCACTTCATGGTTAGTGAGGGAGTGGTCCTAGGGCATAAGATTTCAAGTAGGGGGATTGAGGTTGATCCGGCTAAGGTTGATGTGATTTCTAAACTACCGCCCCCTACTTCGGTCCGTGCCATTAGGAGTTTTCTAGGCCACACAGGTTTTTACCGTAGGTTCATCCAGGACTTTTCTAAGATAGCCTGACCCATGACTAAGCTCCTTGAGAAGGACACACCGTTCGACTTCTCAAAGGAGTGTTTAGAGGCTTTTGAGTGTTTGAAGGAGAAACTGGTCAAGGCACCGGTGGTAGTAGCCCCTGACTGGTCTTTGCCTTTTGAGATTATGTGTGATGCTAGTGATTTTGCAGTAGGAGCCGTTCTTGGGCAGCGTCGAGATAAACATTTTTAGCCTATTTCTTATGCTTCAAAGACTCTCGATAGTGCCCAAGAAAACTACACTACCACCGAGAAAGAATTGCTTGCTGTTGTATTTGCTCTTGAAAAGTTTCGTCCTTATTTGATTTTGTCTAAGGTAGTGATATTCACCGATCATTCTGCTCTCAAATATTTGATGCAAAAAGTGGATGCCAAGCCTAGATTGATTCGGTGGATATTACTACTCCAGGAGTTTGATATTGAGATTAGGGATAAGAAAGGGGCTGAGAATTTAGCGGCTGATCACTTGAGTAGGTTAGAAAACCCCTTTCTTGATTCCCTGAGTGAGAGAGATATTGAGGGTACTTTTCCTGATGAGAGACTGTTGAGAATCGTTGATGAGGTGCCTTGGTTTTCTGACATCGCCAACTATCTTGTTGGGGGTGTTGTTCCTTCTGATTATACACCTCATCAACGAAGGAAATTTTTTGCTGATCTGAAGTACTATTTCTGGGAGGAACCATATTTGTTTCGTATTTGTGCTAATCAGGTTGTTAAAAGATGTGTTCCCCTGAGTGAAGGAGTTGAGATTCTCAAACATTGTCACTCCGGACCGACTGGGGGACACTATTCTTTTAACCGGACAGCTCGTAAGGTGTTGGAATGTGGTTTCTTCTGGCCCACGTTGTTTAAAGATGCTCTAACGTTTGTGCAGGAATGTGACAGGTGTCAACGCACCGGGCCGGTTACCAAGAGGGATGAGATGCCCCAGAGTTTTATATTGGCTTGTGAGGTATTTGATGTTTGGGGCATTGACTTCATGGGGCCGTTCCCGGGTTCTAAAGGTAATAAATTCATTCTGGTTGCTGTGGATTATGTCTCTAAGTGGGTTGAGGCTGAAGCTCTACCCACTAATGATGCTAGAGTTGTGATTCGTTTTCTGAAGAAATTGTTTTCTAGGTTTGGAGTGCCAAGAGTTTTGATAAGTGACAGGGGTACCCACTTTAGGAATGATCCGATGACTCGCCTTCTGGCAAAGTACGGGGTCACTCATAAAGGGGGCGTCCCTTATCACCCTCAAACTAGTGGCCAAGTTGAGAATTCGAATAGGGACATTAAGACCATCCTTGAGAAGACTGTTGAGACCCATAGGAAGGATTGGTCTGATAAGCTAGATGATGCGCTGTGGGCACTGCGTACAGCGTATAAGACACCCATTGGCACTACTCCATTTCACTTGGTTTATGGGAAGGCGTGCCACCTTCCGGTAGAGATAGAGCATAAGGCCTACTGGGCCTTGAAAACACTGAATAAGGATTTGTCTTTGGCGGGTCGTGAACGGCTTTGGAAGCTCACCGAGTTGGATGAGTGGAGGCTTATGGCCTATGAGAACTCTAAAATTAGTAAGGAGCGTACCAAAGCCTATCACGATCAGCACATTAAGCAAGGAAAAGAGTTTCATAAGGGGGATCAAGTTCTGCTTTTAAATCCCCGAATGAAGATTTTCAAAGGAAAGTTGAAGTCTAGGTGGTCCGGTCCTTTTGTAGTGAGCGAAGTTTTTCCGTATGGCACTGTTGAGATTGATCATCCTGAGAAAGGCCGTTTTAAAGTTAACGGTCATCACCTGAAGAAATACTACGGA